ACACACACAAACTGAACGGGAGGGGTGGATGCGTACTCTCCATAACTTCGGGGCTACGACATCGGAATCTGTTTGTATATATTTGTCTTATGTTTGTCCGTTCTGTTTCTCTCAGTGTGGCTGACAACTCAGAACCACAGTACGCTTGTGACCGAACGGAGTGCCGTCCCCTTCTTACCCGTCAACCCTGAATACTCAGCGACACGCAACCAGGTAACACGCACAGCTTTTTATTCCAGAGGATGCGTTTGAAGTATGTTTGGGAGGAAGCTCTCCGCTCCCCCTTGCGTAAGCGGCCGTCACTTCCCCGCGGGCCTGTTTTTGATGGAGGCATAAAAGAGAGATGATTTCTGGGGTGCAGCAGACACAGAGCTAAAAATAGACATTTTGTGGCTGTGCGAACGTCTGAGTGAGGCCCGGGTTTGGCCAGGATGTTTTCCAGCTGCGTAACGGCTGCAGACACGCGACTGCTCCCTCTCCCTCTGTTTCCACTGGCATCCTTGCATGACCTTCTCTGTATTCTGTTTGAAAAGAGAAATAGTTCTTTTATAGAGCAAGACATTCACACGGGGGCATGTTTCCTGCGGGCCTGATTGGCCAGGCTGAGAATTTCCTGCTCTTTTGCTTATACATGAGACATGAAAAGAGATGATGGGAGGAGGGACACGCACACCCAGTGGTCAAGAGTTGGAACAGTGAACTGTTGATGTGGCAGTGTTTTCCAGCCTTTAAAAGTCTCCCTCAGCTAAAATAGACTGTTCTGTAATATGCATTGCAGAGTGACTAAGTGCTCAAATAAAACTTTGTCAAATGTGCAAGTTTCACCTTATAATCAGACACAGACTCCTGCAGATTTCCTTTAAGGCCATCATTTATAAAATTCTACTTGTTCTCCCAAAACTTTCATATTTGGTTATAAAAATGTTGTTCTTTCCATTTAAGTTTCAATCTGTTCTGCCAAATTCCACGAATTTTGCCCTAAAATTGTAAAAAAAAAAACACATTAATGATTCACACTACCATTCAAAAGTTTAGGATCGTTAAGATTATTTAATTATTTAATGTCTCTTATATATATATATATATATATATAGTAAAAACAGTAATATTGTGAAATGTTATTACAATTTAAAATAACCTTTTTTTCAGTTTCAATATATTGTCAAATGTAATTTAAGCTGAATTTTCAGCAACATTACTCCAGTCGTCAGTGTCACATGATCCTTCAGAAATCATTCTAATATGCTGACTTACTTTCCTATTATTATCAATGTTGAAAACAGTTTTTCTTAATATTTTTGCAGACACCCTGATGCACTTTTTCTGGGTTCTTCGAATTGAACGTTCAAAAGAACAGCATTTAAATGAATTTTATTAGAACTTTGCGGTCACTTTTTATCAAATGCATCTTTGCTGAATAAAGTATTATTTTCTTAAGAAACAAAATCTTACCGTATATAAAATATTTTTATATAATGTGTATTTATTTGTGTGTGTGTGTGGTAGGGGCGGCAAAAATTGGCTCGTTTTAATGCACGAGAATTCGCCACCCTCATTATCGACATACTCAGTGATGCCAAGCGGAGGCAGCATGGAAAAGGCCTGACAAGCCCCACAGGTGAGACGCCCACATTGCATTTCTCAAACTCTGAGATTGTAGGAGAATATCAATAATACAGCTTCAGTAAAGATGGAAATAGCTACGCCAGTGCAGTTTCTCCTCATATTAATGATGTTATCTTTTGTGTTTGTTGTTTTCAGACCCGCTGGATCTGAGTCAGGCAGACGATGACCAGCATGATTATGACAGCGTAGCGTCTGACGAAGACACAGACAGCGAGCTGACCGCACAGAATAACAACAATACCCACCGCAACAACCGGGCCAAGGTGAGCTCATCAAATTGTAACTGGGTGTTTACCTGGGGAAAATCATCTCTGTACTCCACCTAAATATAATTAATAGTGTGAGAAGTTTGAAGATTTGAGTTCATCCATCCAGATGTCCTTCATTTCTTATAATGAAACCACCTTATTTAATTGAGGAGCATTAAAACATTTGGTGAAACAATTTCAGGTGATCCACTGAATCTTGGGAAATGTTTAATTTCTTCTATCATAGGTTAGGCATTGGTAGTTGTTGATCTGGGTTTGCCAGACCAGCAAATTAGTATATACAGAAGTAGTACAGACGCCAGAGTTGTCATGTCCCCGCATGCACCACTGGAAGAACAGAAGCAGCAGCCCTGCCTCATATTTGCAGAATGACATCATCCCCTTTCAAGGCTGTGATCAGTGAAGCTATTGTTTTGCAGCTGAAGACACCAAGCTGTGTCTGAGCATGCTCACTCCACACACACCGGAAGTGACATGGCTGAGTGTAGAGGAACAAGAGTAAACACCTCATATTACAACACCTTGTTTGTCATATTGCACCATGCATCATTTATTTTTTAACTCAAAATGGTATGAAAATATTATTTTACATAATCCCTTCTTGTAATGGTTTACAATAACGGTTATAAATGCGTATGGACATTAATACTTCAAATGATCTGACTTTTTTGCATGCCAAATGATAAAAAAAGACAAATCTAGGAATATAAATGTCATATAGCATTGTGGTTAGCTCTTTTGACTTAAATGTATAATACCAATTAAAAGTTTGAGTTTTGAAAGAAGTCTCTTCTTCAGCGCACTAAGGATGATGTGGTGAAAAAACAGCATTTATTAAACTGAAATCTTTTGTAAAATTTAATGAATGTCTTAACTGTCACTTTTGATCAATTGAATGTGTCCTTGCTTGAATTCATTTATTTCCAAAGAAAATCTTACTGACCCAAAACTTTGAAGAGTAATGTAAATACTACAACATAAATGAATGAAATTTATGATTGTGTATGTTTTGGAAAAAAATATCATCTTTTCAAATCTGTTCCTTTTTTGCTGTTGACATTAGATTGTGATTTGTGTTGTGTGTATTAGAGCATGGACTCATCCGACCTGTCAGATGGCC